CCTTCTACCCAACCACAAGGCTGAACACCGGATACTCAGACTCCCCCTTTTGCTGCTTTGCAGACCTTACCACCTATGCCCATCTCCTGGTTATTTACCGGTTAGTGACATTGATGGACCTCAAAAGGGACGGCCAAACAAGTGGGCTCGCTTACACGTGCCTAAGGCTCGCTTACACCCTGCACATACCATACCAAATCGTGCCTAGGGCTCGCTTACACCCTGCACATATCATACCAAAGAGCTCGCTTACACCCTGAAACCACCGCATAGAGTCTGAATACATCCGTGTCAACCTGGGGTCTCGTTTAGACCGCTTGCGCAAGACTTAACTCATTTGGTTTTAATTCCATTCACATGTTCAATACATAAATCATTTTGAAGCACAAGGGTGAACGTCACCCACTACCAATCCCTTTCCATTTCCCATTTATTAGATCTTTTGCCAAGCAAGCTGGTCACATTCAGTAATTCGGTAATATAAAAGAGCATGAGAAAAACATAAGAAATGAAATGTAGCCCGTGATAATCATACATAGGTATGGTAAGGCAAGAAAATAACATTAGGCATGCTTTAAAATACTTAGAGACAAACAACACAACAAAACACCATTTCCAGCACTGTTCGGTTCTGCAGGGCTAACAAGAACGCTTTGGTAAGAATACTTATAGGTCAAATTAGGGGCTGAAATTGCACAGAAACAATATTCAATCTGTCTAGTTTCAGTTCCAATTTTCAGAAGTTGCACAGCACCTCCACAAATTCATCTACAAACTATATTCGAAAACCTGTCCAGATTTGTCACCCTTTGGGGAAACTAACTTTTCTCTCAATCTACCCGATGGTTTTCACTCAAATAAAATCTGTTGGAAAGAGTACTCAGAGTTCTAAATTTTGATAGAAGAACCAACATGAGGTGATTTTTCTAGAATTTTATAAAATTGCTAAAAGTGGACTGTTTTTCAGAGATTCAGGACCAGATTTTTCAACAGTTTATCCAAGCCCTAAAAACAAACAATTAGGAGCTAATAAAATTTTCACAAGCTCTAAACACACCAAATATCCTACCATAAATTTAGATTTTAGAATTAAATAGATTTGATATTTATTTTAAATTAGGGAAGTTGCAGCAGTGCCTAATTTCACAAATTTGTAAGACAACGGCAATTGATCATACTCACACGTCAACATGCACCAAAAACCCTATTTACCATTAATTTGCAACACAAGAGGCATATTAGACAATAGAAGGAGATGGTGAAAGAATTGGAGAAGACAAAGGAGAGGTATGTTCTTACCTTTTTTAGAGTCACCCTTATTATTATTTTTTTCTTCTTCTTCTGCTCTACTTCCTTTGATCACACTTTCACCCTCTCACCCTCTCCCTAGGCTGTTGAAAATGTGTGGTGAAAATTGAGACAAAGTTCTCAATTTATAAGCCATGAAATAGGGCTAGCTTAATGACTAAGAAAAAGCATAAAAATCTAGATATTTTTCCATTGCTCAAATAAGTATTAAAATAAATAATAAAACTATTTATTTAAAGATATGTGTAGATATTTATTTAAAGATATTTATTTGAAGATATTTATTTTCTCAAGTAAATAATAAAGGTTCAAAGAAAATAATAAAAATTCAAAGAACTAATAAATATCCAATTAGGCTAGAAATAAAATTGATGAATTAATTTAGAAACTAGGAGGTACATAAATAAAAGCCAAGTGTTAGGGTATTTCCAAATATAAAAATGGCATTCTATGATTTAATTATAATACAAAATAAAATACAGAAAAATTATTCTTTCTTGGACCATTTTGTAAAATTTTATAAAATTTGGGATTAAAATGTAATTAACCTAAGGCTTAGGGTATCAAGTGTAATTACCAAAAATTAGGGTCTCTACAACCTACCTCCCTTAAATAAATTTCGTCCTCGAAATTAAATCGTACGTCACGTCTCAAATAGTTGTGAATATTTTGCCCACACCACGTTTTCACATTCCTAAGTGAACTCTTCAATATCATAGTGACGCCAAAGTATGTTAAGAAGTTGAATTGTCTTTCCTCGCAAGTTCTTTTCTTGTCTGTCCATAGTTGCTACTGGTCTCTCTTCAAAGGTAGCGTCTTCGTTGAGTTGGATTTCTTCCCAGTTGATAACGTGAGAAGGGTGCATTATGTACTTCCCTAATATAGATATGTGGAAAACATCATGTACTCCAGCCAATTTGTACGTAACCTCTCCAATTTTCTAAATTATCTCGAAGGGTCCGATATATCGAGGTGATAATTTTCTTTTCTTTCCAGAATGAATGATACCTCGCCAGGGCTAAATTTTCAAAGCAACATCACCGACAATGAAAGTTAGAGGTCTTCTTTATCAGCATAACTCTTCTGGCAATCTTGAGCTGCCACCAATCTTTGTCGAATAAGTTTCTTCTTTTCTGTAGTTTCTTTATTCTATTCCACCAGTATTGGTGTTTTAAGTCTTGGTACACTTTCATCCCTCCTGTGTGCACTGCAAACATCGAATGATGGAACTTTTTCAAAACTTTTTCTCTAAGTGACTCGTCTTATGGCACAAACACGTTGCCTTGATGTCTCAAACTTCCATCCAAGTGAATCGTCCAATGAAGTATTGGATCGCCAGATGCTATTCGCGCCTTTATGCAGACCACCTCCTGATCATACTTCTGTGACTCTATTACCTCGTTCAGTAATTTAGGCATAGCAATTTGAGCACCAAGGTATACCTTCTCGTCGTAAGCTTTCATATGTACTCCGAACTCATTAAGTGTTCCGACCGTGTTTCATTCCTTGAGTGCCAGACTAATAGTAATCCCCTGGTTCTTGCAACTTAGGGCATTTTCCACCACATTAGCTTTGCTAGGATAATAAGATACAGTAAAATGGTAATGTTCGAGTTATTCCATCCACCGTCTTTGTCTCATCTTCAAGTCCTTCTATGTGAACAAATACCTCAAGCTCTTATGATCCATGAAAATATCAAACTATTCACCATATTAACACCATTGCTTTAGCAAAAAAAAACCATCTCTGCCAACTCCAGATCATGTGTCAAATAATTCCTTTCATGCGGTTTTAGTTACGTGGAGCCGTAAGCCACGAACTTTCCATTTTGCATTAACACACAGCCCAGCGCATCTTTTGATGCATCACAATACATTGTATATCCTTCGTCTCGCGCTAAAATGATGAGTATTGGGCACTAGTCAATCTCCTCTTGAGTTCTTGAAAGGATCGTTCACATGCTTCATCCCAATCATATTTTACCCTTTTTTTTGCGTTAGATGAGTCATCGGCTTCGCCAGTCTAATAGATAATCTTGAATAAACCATCGGTAATAACCGGCCAACCCTAAGAAACTAGGAACTTCAAATACTGAAGTTGGATGCTTCCAATCTAATATTACTTTTATCTTGGCCGGGTCCACTCCAATCCTATGCTCAGACACTACATGTCCCAAATTTTGACTTCCTTCAACCAGAACTCGCAGCAAGTTGATCATGCCACCGCATTGTCATGCTCAGACCCTCCTCTCTATCCCCCTTAAATTGGAAACACCTCCCATCAGGTGTGTAAGTCGTCACCCTCTTCTGGTAGCAGTCAATCACCGTTCAATGGGCAGATAACCATTCCATACCTAAGATTATGTCAAAATCGAATATGTCCTTGACCACAAGGTCGCAAATCAAGTGTAAACCTGACACTTCTAGTTCGCATTAACACTTCCTCCCAAAGGTGATGTGATACTTAAAGTAGTTTTAAAGGTTCACATGTAAGACTTAACGATTTAACACATGATATTTTTATAACAAAAAAAATGGTGCGCCATAATCGGATAGAGCATGAACCCAAGAATTATAGACTGCGATGTTATCTCTAATTACTAACGGGTCTTCGTCCTCTTCCTTTGCTCGTAGGGTCTAGCTCCCATTCAAACTTTCTTGCATTTTCCCTCTCAATTGATCCAATTGTTCAAGAATTTGGTTTCCAATGCGGCTTAAGATTTCAGCTGTGGGTATTGGTCCATTCTCAGGGTTTCAGTTACATGATACTTCATTCTTATTGCGTTATTGCTCGCGAGCTCGTGTGTTATCGCTTGTCTCAGTGTAGCCGTTGGCTCGAGTGTGGTTCACTATTTTTTTTCTTTCTGTTCATAGTACGAGGTGCGGCATAAGTTTGAGTCTAATTATGGAGGCAATTCTCAAGGGTATTCAGCTAATCTTAAAGTTATGGTTTAATTATCATACGGTGTTTAAAGCAATAAGATCAAGTAGTAAATAACAAATCTAGGGAAGCACACAACACAACTTCACATATATACATATAGGCAAAATAATAACTACAAGACTTTGAAAAGTGGATTAATAAAAGGAAAATATGAAGTGGAGAGGAAATAATATTATAGTAATTGCATCAATTAATACAAGGATCGTCGGAAATACGGATGCGTTATGATTTAAGACTTTTTATGTGGTCAAGGTATAGAGATAGCGACTAAACTCGATATTTAACTTGAAACTGCATCGGCCATCCGCGTTTCAAACTAAATATCCAATATTTATCACCGAATGAAGAAATTGCAACTTGCAGAAAAATTCTCATACAAGATGGCATAATCAAGGCACAAGGTTGCCAATCTAGCAAATGGTATAATTGAAAAATACAAAGTAAGACCAGATGGTAAGGACTTAATCTTGAAAGTGAACAACATCAAATAAGGTTACAAATATGAAATGAGGGTATGACGATCGATAGAAGACTCATAGAAATAATAGTATCTCCTACTTCTATATTGCGTCTAATGTTAAATACGTTGCCCTATTCAAAGTTAAAACCACTTCCCTTTGTAGGTTATCGTAAAATTGTTTGAAGTCGAAACGCGTGGGTAAGGGTTGAAACTAAGCTCTGATACCATTCTGTAACGCCCCAACTTTCAGGCCGTTAAATAAGTACAATATTACTACACAAATAGGGTAGATAACCAAAACATCTTAACATACATATATAACCAGAGTTAGTATCACAGATCATTCGTTTATTTTCCATTGCAGGATTACAAAACATTGAAAACAAAAACAACTAGTCTAAGTCTTCAGATGAACCACCGCTCCAACACTTCATCGTATTTGCCTTCGCAATAACTTTCACCATTATAACTGCTTCACCACCTGGCATGACACACCGTGAGATTGGAATGCCCAGTAAAAACACACACATCCCCATATCTTCTATCAACCAATCAACCATACATAGGACAAATTGGGTAACATAACATGCAAAATTACAACAAGGTTCTATGAATTAGGAGTTTGCCTAGACATCTAGGATCCCCCAAAGAGATCCTTCTACCCAGCCACAAGGCTGAACACCGGATTACTCAGACTCCCCCTTTTGCTGCTTTGCAGACCTTACCACCTATGCCCATCTCCTGGTTATTTACCGGTTAGTGACATTGATGGACCTCAAAAGGGACGGCCAAACAAGTGGGCTCGCTTACACGTGCCTAGGGCTCGCTTACACCCTGCACATACCATACCAAATCGTACCTAGGGCTCGCTTACACCCTGCACATATCATACCAAAGAGCTCACTTACACCCTGAAACCACCGCATAGAGTCTGAATACATCCGTGTCAACCTGGGGTCTCGTTTAGACCGCTTGCGCAAGACTTAACTCATTTGGTTTTAATTCCATTCGCATGTTCAATACATAAATCATTCTGAAGCACAAGGGTGAACGTCACCCACTACCAACCCCTTTCCATTTCCCATTTATTAGATCTTTTGCCAAGCAAGCTGGTCACATTCGGTAATTTGGTAATATAAAAGAGCATGAGACAAACATAAGAAATGAAATGTAGCCCGTGATAATCATACATAGGTATGGTAAGGCAAGAAAATAACATTAGGCATGCTTTAAAATACTTAGAGACAAACAACACAACAAAACACCATTTCCAGCACTGTTTGGTTCTGCAGGGCTAACAAAAACGCTTTGGTAAGAATACTTATAGGTCAAATTAGGGGCTGAAATTGCACAGAAACAATATTCAATCTGTCTAGTTTCAGTTCCAATTTTCAGAAGTTGCACAGCACCTCCACAAATTCATCTACAAACTATATTTGAAAACCTGTCCAGATTTGTCACCCTTTGGGGAAAGTAACGTTTCTCTCAATCTACCCGATGGTTTTCACTCAAATAAAATCTGTTGGAAAGAGGACTCAGAGTTCTAAATTTTGATAGAAGAACCAACATGAGGTGGTTTTTCTAGAATTTTATAAAATTGCTAAAAGTGGACTGTTTTTCAGAGATTCAGGACCAGCTTTTTCAACAATTTATCCAAGCCCTAAAAACAAACAATTAGGAGCCAATAAAATTTTCACAAGATCTAAACACACCAAATATCCTACCATAAATTCAGATTTTAGAATTAAATAGATTTGATATTTATTTTAAATTAGGGAAGTTGCAGCAGTGCCTAATTTCACAAATTTGTAAGACAGCGGCAATTGATCATACTCACACTTCAACATGCACCAAAAACCCTATTTACCATTAATTTGCGACACAAGAGGCATATTAGACAATAGAAGGAGATGGTGAAAGAATTGGAGAAGACAAAGGAGGGGTATGTTCTTACCTTTTTGAGAGTCACCCTTTCTTTTCTTTTTTTTTTCTTGTTCTTCTCTACTTCCTTTGATCACACTTTCACCCTCTCACCCTCTCCCTAGGCTGTTGAAAATGTGGGGTGAAAATTGAGACAAAGTTCTCAATTTATAAGCCATGAAATAGGGCTAGCTTAATGACTAAGAAAAAGCATAAAAATCTAGATATTTTTCCATTGCTCAAATAAGTATTAAAATAAATAATAAAACTATTTATTTAAAGATATGTGTAGATATTTATTTAAAGATATTTATTTTCTCAATTAAATAATAAAGGTTCAAAGAAAATAATAAAAATTCAAAGAACTAATAAATATTCAATTAGGCTAAAAATAAAATTGATGAATTAATTTAGAAACTAGGAGGTACATAAATAAAAGCCAAGTGTTAGGGTATTTCCAAATATAAAAATGGCATTCTATGATTTAATTATAATACAAAATAAAATACAGAAAAATTATTCTTTCTTGGACCATTTTGTAAAATTTTATAAAATTTGGGATTAAAATGTAATTAACCTAAGGCTTAGGGTATCAAGTCTAATTACCAAAAATTTGGGTCTCTACACGATCATCCGACTGGTCGCCTAACTAGTCATCCGATAATAAGGGTGACAGTTGCAGTAGACAAGTGTTGCACCGATTGTCTGGACAGTCGAGCGGCATGCACAAATTCAGGTGATTCGTACAATCTCAAATTTGGGAAATGAATCATTTTTCTAAATTAAAAAATCAATTAATAATTTTTAATAATACCATAACTATATTTTAATTAATAACTTAGCAATTTGCAACATCAAACCACAAACCACAAATTTTTACAATATCAGCTATAAAATTTTAGGCATTTTATTATGTTAATTTTCAATAAGATTACAAATTTTATGATTAATATGATAAAATTTTGTAATAAAATTATAAAGGGGTGCAATTCATAAGATTTTTTTGTATAATTAGTTTCAATTCTCCACTTATTTGCAATTCTTCTACGTTCATGTCACCTTCCTTTTTTCATTCCACTTGGGAACAACCAATAGTACAAATTAGGATTAAGTTTAGGACCAGATGTGCATTTCCATATTTGCATCAATAATGAGTGTATGGCGGAAATTGAAAGTGTGTATTATGAAGTCTATGTTTAAAATGAATTTAAATCATATATTGATGTTTTGGGATATTTTATATGTAAAATTTATGAATTTATAGTATTAGGCTAATTCCAATTATCACTACAAGAAAAGTGGGCTTAAAAGACGAAACATTTGCGACGGCACACTTGTTGTCTCAAAAAGTGACTATTTGCGACAGCACACCTTGCTGTTATGAAAAATGTGAGTTTTTGCGACGGCACAACTTGCTATCGCGAAAAATGTGAGTTTTTGCGACGGCACAATTTGTTATTGCAGAAAAATAGAGCATTTATGACGGTAGAAAATGTTGTCGCGAAAAATGAGAGTATTTGCGAAGACAGAAATTGATGTCGCAAAAAAAGGAGCGTATTTGAGACGGCAAAGATTGCTGTCGCGAAAAAATAGAATTTTTGCAACTATAATAGGTATCGTTACAAATAAAAAAAAAACAAAAAAAAAAATGTGGCTTTGAGACTGCTTTATATATATATATATAGTCACAAAATGGTTTGAATAAATGCAACGATATTTTTCTATCACAATTTTTTTTTTAAAAAAACGACATCATTTTACTCTTTTGATATAACATTTCTCTTTTCACCCATTTTTTCATCTTCTTGTCTCTGTCTCTATCTCTCTCTCTCTCTCTCTTCTCTTTCTCTCTCTCACTCATCACTGTTCTCCCTCTGTTTGTCTATCTGTCTCTCTCTCTTCTCTCTATCTCTCTCATCTCTCTTCTTTGTCTGTCTGTCTCGCTTATCTCTCCTCTCTCTCTGTCTCTCTTGCTCATCTCTATCTGTCTCTCTCTTTTTCTGTCTCTCTCCCATTCATCTCTTTTCGCTCTCTTTTTCTCTTTCTTTCTCTATCTCTTGCTCATCTTTTGTTTCTCTCTCTTTCTTTCTCTATCTGCCTGTCTGTCTGTCTTTCTTTCCCCTACTGTGTTCGCCTTGCTCACTTTCTTCCACCCATCTTCTCTATTTACCGAGCTCTCTCTCGATTTATCGATCCACTACAAGAAAACGCACTTTTAGCGACCACTTTCTCTCTTTGTCACTCATCACTCTATCTTTGTCTTTGTCTCGCTCTCTCTCTCTCACCACTCATCTCTTCTACCATCTTCACCACTACCGCAAATGTCATCCTACTACCACCACTACTACCACCGTTGCCACTCTACCTCTATGACTACCATTACTACCACCATCACCACCGCTCCACCACCACCACCACCACCACTACTGCCACTACTACTACCATTACCTCTCATCTACCACCGCCACTCCATCTCCTCTACCACTACCACAACTTCACCAATAATCTCCTTCGCCGTCACCACCACCACTACTATCACCTCTTGTCCACCACATTCACCACTATTGTCGCTCCCTCTCCTCTACCACAAAAAATTAGTTCCTGATTTTTAGTAACCAAAAAAAATGGGCCGCAAAAAAATATTTTTCATTGACCACAAAAAATTATTTTTATTTTAACAGATTGATATTTTTCATTAAAATATTACCCCTATTTCCACCAAACAAAAAAATAATAATATTTTTTTTTCATTAAAATAAAAATGAAACAAATAAATTTTCAACCTTAGTAACTAAAAAAAAAATCAAAAATCAAAAAAAAAATTCATTAACTAAAAAAAAAATTATTTTAACAAAAAAAATAAATTTCTTTTCATTTTCCCGCAATTTCTATCTGAATTCCCCATTTCTTTCCCCCCTTTTGTTTCTCGTGATCTCAAATCCCAAACCCCTAATCCCTAACCTAACACTCCCTATCACTCTCTCTTATTCTCTTCTCTCTTTATCTCTTCCGCCTCCTACGTCATCGCCTCTGGTGCCGCCACTGGCGACCACCACTATCGCCGCCACACCTCTTCCCTCACTGCCCTCTTTCTCTTCTTCTATTCTCTCCACCGATCTTTACCGGTCGTCTACTTCGTCTTCTCCACTCTCGTCGTCGGTTCCAAAACCCTGAACCTACCTTTGATCTTCTCCAATCCCTCCACAAGCCATATGTTTAAATCCAGACCATACACTCTCCTCAACTGTTTTCAGAACCTTTGTCTACAAAGGACTACCATCGGACTCATCAAAAGCCGATATCGAATGGGCTGATTGCGATGAGAAAGATCAGGCGGCGAGGCACATTAATGTGTTAGAAATGAAATCAGAAGATGGACAGTTGATCTTTGCCCTAATTTTTCTCTCCATTTATGTTCAAATGTAAGTACGATATAGTCATCTTCAATGTGGGTTTCTTGGGTAACTGGTACTAGTCTTGACTGAAAAATTATAGATTCTGATATAGTCAATTGTCAAATTTTGTGTGTTGACATTGCTGTTTGCACTTTTGTATCATGTTTTGTATCATTCTGAGTCATGTATTGAATAGAAAATATGTTGAAAGAATTTTTAATACAAGGAACATGAAATATATAACCAAGTAATGTTCATTTACAAGATAGATTAGAGAATCCTAGTTTTTAACTCTAGATATCACAATTCAAGTTTTGCCTTCAATAGCATATGGTCTTCCTATGTCCAAGAATTAGAAAGGAAAGGAGAGTAAAATAATTTAGAGTGGAACCAAAAATCCTGCTGCCCATTAATTTTGTCAAACCACCAATTGATTGTGATTTCCTTTTTGTCTAGCTTTAATACCATAGTACATGAGCTAGCCTTAAACTAATTTCTAGATATAAGATGAAATATGATATGCATGCTGATTCATTCTCAAGATGATATAGGTTTTTGTCTCATCCATGCCACTAGAATTTGGTATTATTTGATGGACTGACAATTTTGAAATCATATTTCAGGCATGTTTTGTGGTTGCAACTTTAGTTTAATCCTTGAATTTTAGTGACCCTTCTCTCAATCTAGGCTTTTGTGTAATATCAATTATAATGGTATTTGGTGAATTTATGCCATTTGATTTACATGTTCAATTATCTTGCAGATTCCATTATGATTTTTAAGTAGGTCAAAATTACGTTGATCATTTAATCTTTATACTTCTTTTACATGTGCCACTGCTCAGAAATTATCTTTGTAGTGAAAATTCAAATACAATAATTGTATTATATCAAATATTTTGATGCAAACACAAATCCTCACTAATTGTTTCACAAAATGCATTTCAACTGATATTACTATAATTTACATAAAAGTTTAAAGGAATTAAAAAAGCTAACAGACTTATTAAAAAGTGTTGTAATCTATACAAAATTGCCCCTCTTGACACCTTTTGTATGAGAGTTTCACTGATCTCTTGTACTTTTATTCCTAATATAGATCTACCAAATTCTATGTTATTGGTTAGTTTGTCATTGAATCAGGACTCATAAGTGATATCTTTGAATGTTCAACTGAATGGTGATAATGGTATGAGATCATCTGTTGATGGATTAGTCAGTCTTTTGGGCCGAATACTGAGTTATCAAAAAAATTATGCAACTTGTTAGTATGTTACTAGGAGATAGATCTTTGTGGTAGTTTGAGAGTTCAACTTGGGTTTTACTTTGTCTCACTACTATTGTAGAGCTGAAGTATTTGGTGTTTAAAAAGAGTTTTTGTCCCCATCTCCAAGTTGCCACGCCCCACGAAATCATACATTTTAAATTTACTCATACATCATGAACATGATTATTTTTGGTGATAGAGTTAAATAATTGATCATAAATTTGAGAAATTTAAAAAAAAAATTGCAGAGTTATCCAAAATAGTTTAATATAAAGGTTTTGTTGTGTTGTGTTGACTTGGCAGTTGAATTATATTTTACATTAAGTATGATGTTCTAATTTGGCGTTGAGTTTTATGTTAAGTCGTTATTTTGGACAATGGTTACTAAATTACTTTTGGAAACTGCAGTTACCATGATAATGCATTCAAAATCTTCTCGTGCATTGCATATTATAAATAAGCTGAACACTTCTGCCACATATGACTTCTTGGAGTTGTTCTTTAAGCAGCAGGTATGTAATAACCCAACCCTCTTATATGCTTTATATTTCTAGTTATATGAATAATTACTTATTTAATGTGAAATTCCATGTGGAGTTGTGCTTACCTATATGAATTATTTAATTATGTTATTCTGTCTGTTGGTTGTTGGAGTACATCTGTTAAAATTAGGACGCTTAATCTAGAAATTGGAAGCCTTAGAGACGCGATAACCCAAAATTGGCTTTACATTTATGTTTAGCATGATTTTAGGGACATAATATAAAGTTTTTGTAAAAATTTGATTCGTAATGAATTAAAGTGATTTAATTGGGCTAGCCTTATATAAGCCTTAGCTATAAGAGATTCAAGGCAACACTTAGCATCAAAAAACAAATATAAATTATCTCTTGGAGGAGACTTAAAGAAGAGAAAGAAGAGAGGAAGGAAAGAGAAATTAGGGCTTGGAAATTGAAGGGTTTTGCTAGAAGATTCAAAGAATAGAGAACAACGTATGTGTAATCTAACTCAAATACCCTAAATCTCACTCCAATTGTTTTGTATCAAGCTTGGGGATGATGTTCTCCACTTATTTAACTTGGGGTTTTTTAACTACCCACTTTGATTGGTAAATATCAATGGAAGACAGCAAGATCCATTGTTTTGATTTAGTTGAGGCTTGATTCTTTTGTTAGATAATCTTTAGTCTTTGCACATGTGTTTGTATCTACTTTGTTTAATCATGGAAAGATGAAAAGAAATATGATTGTAAAATTGTATAAATTGCTTAAAGTGAATTATGATCTATTTATGTATGAATTCTTGTTTTTTATGCTCACAAAATATGATATTGAGAAGGTGTTGCTCATATTTTCCCTTAGAAATGCCCTTGGAAAGTTTGTTTTTGATGGAGTTTCGGACTGCCCAAAACAGGGTATACGACCGCACGTGCGGGGCTCATGGCCTCACGCGCGGGAAGCACAACCACACGTACGGTGCTCACAGCCGCATGTGCGGAAAACAGGGGAGAAAGGTTGGGCTACACTGCAATAAAAGCACGTGCGGTGCACCTGCCCGAACGTGCGATAGGGACTTTCGTACGTACGACCCAAGCTCAAAGATTCTGTAATTTTCTTTTGCTCTTTTCGACCCTCTGAATGTGTTATTATGGCCATTCGATGCTCCTATAATGCACTTAATTACATGGAGCTTAACGAATCGGATAATTAAGAAATAAGAAGAAACTAAGAAAAGATGATATACTTACGAGTTGTGTGCTATGTGTAGGGCACATACCGGAGGGGACCATCGTTCACCCGCATCACTATGAGTGATAGTAGCGTAATGTCATGTTTCATTCATGTATTATGTTCATATGTGTGGTTCGATACCTTATTCACTCTTTTGGTAAATAACTTATGTTATAAGAGATATGTTTGATATATGTTTGAACTTTGGCACATGAGATATGGACCCGAGGTCATTCTGATTGCATTATGATGGGCCCAAGGCCATTTTGCTAAAATAATGGGCCTAAGGTCATTTTGTACTTCGTTGGGCCCGAGGCCGTTTTGCTATTATAATGGGTCTAAGGCCGTTCTGTATTACGATGGGCTTAAAGTTGTTCTGTATTACGATGAGCCTAAGGCCATTCTGTATTACGTTGGGCCTAAGGCCATTCTGCATTATGTTGGGCCTAACGCCGTTCAGAAAAAGAAATATGAATAAGTCCAACCTGTGATTTATTAATATGCATTGTAAATTATGCTCGTACCCTTAATTTGTTTGGATTACTATTATTCACTGAGCCTTGCTCACTCCATTTTTTATTTGGATGTTTTGTATGTAATCAGCTCGCGGGGCAACCGTAGGTCAGCCCAGGAGTCTTTTATTGAACTGTTTTACTAAGTCACCCGAAGTGACTCTTTTGTTTAATTTTGGGAAATCTATATGTTGACATGTTTTGTTGGAATTAGGAGGAATAGACATGTGTATATATGCTTTGGCATTACCTAACTTTTGGGTTGTTACCTTTTCCACATAAACAGTAATGTAACTAGTGTATGAAATGTTATGTTCTTATATATGGTAATGCATTAAGATCCTGGCATGTAGTCACAGCTCAATGAATTTTTTATTCTATTATTTTGCTTCCGTTCTGGGCCTAATATTGAGTAAAATTTATTATAGCAAAGTTGAGGCCTTAAGTTGGGCCAATCGTGTCCAAACTTTTAGGGGCAGGTTTGGGTCGTGACAAGGTAAGAACTCTTTAAATTATAATTATACATCGATCTAAAGTTATAATAACCGTGAGATTGATATTCTTCTTGCATGCCTTGGCTGTGATATTATTTCAGATAAGAAGCTCTTTATGTTAAATAGGAAAATTAATCTTGGCAGAATCGTTATTGAAATTAGTGTCTGCTTCATCTTATATTGGAGAATAGAATACTATCACATAATAGCATGATGATATCACAATCATCTACATAAATTGGCCATCTAGCAGCACTAATATCCATCATTTTCTAAAAATTCAAATTAATTGAGTGGGTGTCTGGCAAGGACTATTAGATTAGAGTTTAGTAAGCATCTAAACACAATATTCTAAAATGATTAATCACCTGGGAATGGTCTTTACAGTAACATAGTATCACTTGACTTGTATGTAGGGAGAGAAATCTACAAAATCAACTAGTTCCTTGAGAAACTTAAATTTTGAGGTGTTAACGTCCCAAAATCACCAAACGGCATCAGATTAGCACGAAACTTGGCACACATGACTGCCTAGGCACGAGAGACTTGTGGGAGAAGACGGAACTCGAATCGGGTTCTCGGTTTGGGAGTTAGAGCTAGATTTCACTCTAGACAAACTAATTTCTTAAGAAACTTAGAATTCGAGGTGTTAACGCCCCAAAATCACCAAACGGTGTCGGATTGGCATGAAACTTGGCACACAAGACCGCCTAGGCACGAGAAACTTGTGGGAGAAGATGGGACTCAAATTGGATTCCCGGTTTGGGATTTAGAGCCGGATTTTAGTCTAGGCAAACTAGTTGAAACTTAGAATTCAAGGTGTTATCGCTCCAAAATCACCAAACAACATTGGAGTAGCACGAAACTTGGCACACACAACCGCCTAGGCACGAAAGACTTGTGGAGAAGACGGGACTCAAATCGGATTCCCAGTTTGGGAGTTAAAGTCGAATTTCACTCTAGACAAATTAATTTCTTAAGAAACTTAGAATTCGAGATGTTAACGCCCCAAAATCACCAAACGGCCTCGGAGTAGCATGAAACTTGGCACACACGACCGCCTAGGCATGAGAGACTTGTGGGAGAAGAAGGGACTCGAATCGGATTCCTGGTTTGGGAGTTAGAGCCGGATTTCATTCTAGACAAATTAGTTTCTTAAGAAACTTAGAATTCGACGTCTTGACGCCCCAAAATCACCAAACGACGTCAGAGTAACATGAAACTTGGCACACATGACCACCTAGGTGCGAGAGACTTGTGGGAGAAGATGGAACTCGAATCGGGTTCCTGGTTTGGGAGTTAGAGCCAGATTTCAGGCTAGGCAAACTAGTTCCTTAAGAGATTTAGAATTCGATGTATTGACGCTCTGAAATCACCAAATGGCGTCAGATTAGCACGAAACTTGGTTAGCACGACCGCCTAGGCACGAGAGACTTGTGGGAGAAAATGAGACTCGAATCGAGTTCTGGGTTTAGGAGATAGAGTTGGATTTCAATCTAGACAAAATTATTTACGTAATTATCTTTATAATTGTATAGTAGTTAAATTTTTATATTTCTTTGTAATTAACATATTAACACATAATTATATTGTCACTAATTATTTTTATTTTTTGTTTTCAGATATTTCCCGAGTAGGAGTTTGCTTCTTGTGAAATGCATGCCTGTGAAAAATGCGACTAACTTTTGTCTTTGTTATCCACGGAGAATGATAAGGAAAACTTTTAATTTTGGTTTATGTTATTTTAAATTATGAACAACTTTATGTATTTAAACATTATATATGTATTATGGAACATTATGTAGTGGGGTAATTTTATTGATGTGTAATTATGGATGCAAGAATATTTTTATTATAGAGAAATTGTTATTTCTATACAAGAATTTTTATATTATTATGCAATTATTGGTTTCATTTTCAATTATTTTTCATTTAATACAAGTAATTTTAATATTTTTAATAATTATATTGCAGAATTTTTTTTTTGGCAACGGCACCACACTGTCGCAAAAAAAAAAGTAATTTTAATATTTTTGATAATTATATTGCAGTTTTTTTTTTTTTTTTTTTTGCTTTTTTTTTGCCATGAAAAAAAAAAAAAAAAAAAAAAAAAAAAAAAAAAAAAAACACAATTCGTGACAACATTACTTGCGGTCTCAAATAAAACTTTTAGCGACTATAAAATAGTGTCGTCGCAAAAGGTCTCACTTTTTTACATATTATAGGTGACAGTAAAATGCCGTTGCAAAAAAAAAGGCAACGACATGATGCCATCACTAAAACGTTTTTGCAACGCCCTCTGTTGTGACCCTGCTTTGCTATCGCAAAAAGTCATTTGCCATCGCTAAAAGTTTTTTGAGACGACATCAGGAGTATTAGCGATGGCATTTTGCCGTCGCAAAAACCTGAATTTTTTGTAGTGTATACTCTCCATTTTTTAGTAGTTAAAATATAAAGAGCATATTTTTTATTTATGTACTCCATTGTTGCTCTTTATTTTACTTATATATATACACAAATCGCTTCAATAGCCTTCCAAAACTCTTCAAATATAATTAATCTTATAGAATTTTACTAAAATAGCTATTTTTCGTGTTTATAGAATTATGCACACAAACCACTTGGATTTTTTATTTTCGTATTTTTTTTAGTGAATTTTTTTTACTCTTTTAAGCAAATTTTTTTTTTTTACTTTTTAGATATACTTAATATAAATACAATTTAAATGTATAATATTTATGATTTTTTTTAAATTCACTAAATACCAAAAATTTAATACATTTTCATATCCTTGTGCATTTATTGAATTTTTAAAATTTTCTTTACAAATATTTTATTTTTTAAGTACATCTAGGTGCATCTAAAAAGTAAAAAAGTTTCTTAAAATATCAAAAAAATTCACTAAAAATGAAAAAAAAATAAATGAAAAGCAAAAACTCAATTTTCAAAAAATTGAATTCTAAAAATTGAAACCAAACCTAGATGAATCTAAAAAATATTATTGATTTTTTTTTAAATCCATCTTGTCTAGATGAATCTAAAAAAGTATAAAATTTTGAAATTTCCTATAAAAAAAATAAAAAAAGCCAAAATAAATCTAAAAAATTAAATATTTTTAGCTTTTTTTTTTTTTTAATCTTTTCTAAACTTTTCCTTTTTCTTAATAAAACAAAGTCGATTCTTTTCAGCATAGTTGTTTTTTGTAAGAGATTGTATTAAGAAGTTAAGGACATCAAAAGCAAGGTTGGCTGGAAAAACCAACACCCCTCCTAAGCCCAGGATAAGGATCCAGGCTGCAGGACGTTTGGTCGGAATAACCAAACACTTTACTTTAGCTTAATAATATTAAAAAAAATTAAATTTTTTTTAAAGAAATTTAATAATTTTTACATGTTACCTCCGATATGTTCTTTCCCCATAAACAAATCACAAACACCGTAAACCCCAAGTGATTAGTCTAGTGAGTGCAGTTTAGAGCCTGAAATTTACTTTTAGATCTCATATTCAACTCTTATTGGATATTATTGTTGGCACCATAAATCTGTAATTTTTATTATTATTTATTATTTATTATTTATATAATTGCAGGACATGTGGCATCATCCTACTCATTTGGAGGTTATGAGAAGTTATGGAATGTGAAAAGATGATGGAGAATAAAGTGAAGAATATGGAGCATGAATTGGAGGTTAAAGGAAGTTATGAAGACATGGAGGGATATGTGGCATTGTGGGAATGAAAATGGAAGAGTGGGTAGTTTTAGGTGGTTATTGGGTAATTATTGTTTGAAGTTTTTTCCTACAAATATTTGCCTATGAATAGCCATTCATGGTGACATTGTAAAAAAAAGATCCAGAATTCAAATCAAAGACAATTGATTTCAATATTTCTTGTCATTTTCCTTATTTTAGGAGTAGTTTAATATAGATTTATATTTCAAAGCATTTATTTTTAGTATTTCCTTTTCAAAGTATTTTATGCACTTCCTTTTCGAAACATAGGAGTAGAGGTAAGTAATTATTACTTTGATTGTTCACTCAATCATCTTTTTCCGTCTCCCTCATTCTTCTTTTAATTTTTCTTTTCTAAACACTTGGCAATTTTGAAGTCCTCTTTGTTGAGGCAAAAGAACCGTCAACACAATCGCTTGATAATTGGCTTGAATTTAATCTGTAATCTTTACTGGCACGCTTGTATTTATGATATTTTCTTTCATAAGAAAAATAAGTCAACAATTATTAATTCCTTAAAATCACACCCGAAAATTATGTTCAATATTTATCGAATCCACAAAAGAACCATTTTACATAAATCCTAAAGCTAGTAAAAGTACTCATAAACTGACTCCCACACAAAACCATAAAAAAAAATCCCAAACACCGTAAGCACTGCCTAAGCACAAAAAATGTGAGAAATTATTGTCACGGTCACTCTTATATCATCAATAATTATGTAATTCCAACTGTCAATCTTATGTCATCAATAATTACGTCAGGGAAACGAACCATCAGGGGGTCACTTTACTCCCAATTTGCTTGCGTGTCCCTTGGATTTTGGCACGTGTAAAGCAAACCACCAAAACTTTGACAAAGGCGTATTTTGATAATTGAGTTACAAATTAGTTTTTTAATTTTTTTAATTTTGTAAAATTATATCATATTTTTATTTTTTTATATATTTTTTTATTAAGAAAATTTAAAAAAATAATTTTTAATCTACTTTTCAAAATAAGCCAAAATTATTTGAGTTATATCCTATGACGTGGCACAATATTTGTTGGATATCTGATACTTTAAGGACAAATTATATAGCGATCCCGGTTTTCCCTTTCTATATCTATTGTATTTCGGGCTTTGGTTCCGTGGAGTTGGTAGTTGTATCTATCTTATTGTCGTCCTTTGATTCCATTTGTTGAGTTTTAGGATATGTTGGGCATGTTTCGAGCAGGTGGGTTGAGCCTTGGTCTAAAATCTTGTTGCCAGGTTTTTGGTCGTTCCGCTCGAGCCGGTCGTCTAGCGCTCGAGCGGAGATTGCACACTCCTAGTATTTTGGTGCTCTGCAAAACTTCTGCAAGCATGTTTTTCACGCTCGAGCGGGTTTCTTTACGCTCGAGCAGTAGCGCTCGAGTGGGTGTGTTGGAGCTCGAGCGGGTAGTACTTTGTCTGTGAAAGTTCTGGGAGAGGGAAATCTACGCTCGAGTAGACTGGTTTTCACGCTCGAGCGGATGTACTTTATTCTTGTGTCTTGGTGCTCAAGCGGGCCTTCTTGCGCTCGAGCGTGGCCAGATTTTTGTGCTTGACGCTCGAGCGTCCTGTTCTACGCTCGAGCGGGAATGTCATATATCAGAAGGCAATTAGGCATTTTTGAATCACTTTTTACATTCACTCTCTCTCTCTTACTTTCCCAAAACAGATTTTGACAGCCCCTCTCTCTAGAAACTCCCTTCTCTCTAGGGTTTGATCTAGTAGGAGTGATTTCTTCACCTTGGGTCTTTGTAAAAGTTGTGTTGATCGTCGAGGGCTATCTTTTGATCTGAAGATTTTGGGATTTGGAGCATCTTCAATTTCTTCATCTTCTTCTCTTGGGCTCCGAATTTGAGGTAGGGATTCCTACTCACTCTTATGGGTTTTGACCTAGATATTGAGTTTGTTGTACAAATAGTTTTGGGTTTTGGAAACTAGGGTTTCAAATGTATAATTTTGAAAAGAGGGTTTTGTTTATTTTGGACCATAAATACGTATTTGGGTTACAAAATGAGTATATTGATGTTGTTGGTAATATATGGACTCTTGGAGTCAATATTGGGAATAAAGGGGAAAAATGCCATGTTTGGGTATTTATGGGTCATTAGTGTAATTAATGACAATTGTTGGGAAAATATGGAATTGAGTTGAATATAATGAAATTGGCTCATTATGAGATGGATTAGTGTAGTTGGATTTATTAATCGCTCACTTTTGGAAATATGGATAAATTATCTGTTGACGCATTTATTATCTGTTTAGAAATAATTGCCTTGGGCTACCGGTGGAGGGTAGTCGTGATTGTTGTAGACAATGCATGATGATTAGGAAAACTAAAACTAATCAATGGAATGTGTCATCGAATATGACAGTTGAAATAATACATTAACTTTATGTATTGTTTGATGATGTATATGATAATTGTTTATATGCATTGTGTTGTGTAGGAGGAGATAGGGGATGTACTCCACGGTTTAGGAGAAGATAGGGGATGGACCTCTAAACCGGTTAATGTTTGGGAGAAGATAGGGAATGGACTCTGGTGATATAGCTCATATGCTTATCCGTGGAAGTGTTGATATAGCTCATATGCTTATCCGTGGAAGTGTTGATATAGCTCATATGCTTATCTATGGAAGTGTTGATATAGCTCATATGCTTATTTGTGGAGTGTGGATATAGCTCATATGTTTATCTGTTGAGATGTTGATACAGCTAGTATGCTTATCTATTGTGAAATGGGAAATGTTTAATATAAATTATTATCTCATTTATAGTGTTTGGCCAGGTTCTGAGCCATGGTTGTGAATTGAGAATTGAATAAGAAATGGAAAATGAAACGAAACATGGTCACAGTTGTCATGTAATGGAAATGGTCTCTGAATTGATCTATGTGAGTCAAACATTTATCAATTGCTAATGTCTTAGTTACTGCTCATATTGTGTTTAGCATATCTCTACTGGGCATTGGCTCACCCTTTATGGGACATCATTTTCAGATACAGGTAGCATGCCACCTCCAAGGACATTGCTTGAATGGTTATGGGAGTTGAAGGCTCTTTTTTTGA